ATATAAAGTTATCCCTTTGTCTTCCAGTTTTGTTCTGCAATTCATGTGTAAACTCACTGAAGGCAATAGGGTTCCACATCTATACCTAAACACACAATTTCAGCAAAAATGTGTGTTCCCTTTATTGAGATATAAGTCTGATCTACTGGAAACTGTTTTAATAGATTATTTCTGCTTTGTTTCAAAGCTGAAATAATTTGCTACAGACTATAGAACAGGGTTAAGAAACCTATAGTTTTATAAAATTTTTGATATTTTCATTATAGGTAGTATAGATAATGATCCCATAGTTAAGATTTCCTAACATTTACCATTAAAAGTTCCTGTTTTCAGTTGCATAGCTCATTTTGTTATCAAATCAAAACTGGATGCTTTTCTAGAGGATAAGCTTTAGCCAAACACAAGCCAGCAGGCTCAGTATAGGGATATCTGCATGAAATTTAATGGCCTGTGATCTACAGATATTTTGCTGATATAATGATCCTTTTTGGTCTCAAAAACCTGTCAGTCTTTGCAAGTGGTCAGAGGATGCAAGAGGTGCTAGTACTAGAAGTAAGTCCTTTGCCTTCTCTAAACAGTGACCCAAGTTTGGAGTAACAAACCTGTATTTGAGCAGAGATGCGTTAGAGTTTGGTTTTCAAATTCTGTCTGATCATGCTGCATCTTTTCACAATGTATATGTGCTGACCCAAATGTGCACACCATTTCTGTAGAGGACCTCAGTATTCTGTATCAAGAACAGGACTTTTTCTGAAATTGCCCTTCCTGGTTGTAGAGGGAGGGTGGCGGGAAAGGGATACTGTGATATTGGTTTCAGCAGGGGAGAACAAAACAGAGACCATCTTTCTTGTCCGTTCAGTGCTTAGTTTATTAGCACTGAGGCAATGCAGGAGAGGGCGAGGCTTGCACCCAACCTAAATGCAGCAGAGTAAGGAATTGCATGGAGTGATGATGCAAAGGAAGGGAGATAGGAACAGGAACTTGGGTGGGAGGGACCAGGGCAGGATCAAAGTGGCCAGAAATTGTGGAGCTAGGAGCAAAAATGTGAAAAGGGGTGCAAGTGAGGGATGGGAGGATAAACAGCATAGAAATACAGATGTCATGAAAGGGTAAGGATAGAAGTAGTGGGAGTGAGTCACAGGCACAATTTTTCTCAAATGTCCTGTTTACAAATAGTTGTGAAATCCAAGTTTATACCTCCATCCCCCTCTAGTCAGTGGGCCTCACAGAAGATAACAGCTTTCTACTACTACCAGGTTCCTCCACAACATTGCATGGAAAGGATAGTGTGATGAATATAAAGGGCTTTTTGATGCTGCTGACCCACATTGGGATATCACTATGGTTCCACAGGATTAAGCTTTTGGCATTTTTTCTATTTTAAAATGTATTTTGTCTTTTTAGAAACTTGATAAATACCATTCCTCCAAAATCTATGTTAATAGGGTATTGATATGGCAAAATCAAGTGTTCAGAACTAAGGAAAAGCTAGAACGAAGATGGAAAGTGCAACCTAAAATTAACCTCTCTATGCATGTTTGTTATGATACAGAACTGTATGATCACAAAGTATATTTTCTTCAGCACTTCTGCCTGCTCTGGGAAGGTATCATGTTTCTGTTGTAAATAAAGTTGTTGCTGTAAAACCCCTGCCTCATTGCAGAAGCTGGAAATTGGCAGAGGACTCAGGGAAGAAGACAGACAGCCTCACAGGGAAAACAGTTGAATATCACTCTGGAAAACTGACTTCAATCCCATTATCTTCCAAAGAGTTTCTATGTGATATGTTGGAAGTTATATACATTAAAATTTTATACTGGTATTTATTGTGTTTCTCACTTCCTAGCCAACCAATGCCAGGTCTGATCTGCAGAAGGAGATGAGCACCAACTGCTCCATACATAGATTCATAGATTTTTAGGGTCAGAAGGAACCTCAGTAGGTCATTGAGTCTGACCCCCTGCCCTGGGCGGGAAAGAGTGCTGGGGTCAGATGACCCCAGCCAGGTGCTTGTCCAGTCTCTTCTTGAAGACCCCCAAGACAGGGGGAAGCACCACCTCCCTTGGAAGCCCATTCCAGATTCTGGCAACCCTTACTGTGAAGAAGTTCTTTCTAATGTCCAACCGAAATCTGCTCTCCATCAATTTGTGGCCATTATTCCTAGTTATTCCAGGGGGTGCTCTAGTTAATAGAGCATCTCCTATTCCCTGCTGCCCTCCCCTGATGAATTTATAGAAAGCCACAAGATCACCTCTCAGTCTTCTCTTGTGAAAGCTGAAGAGATCTAGGTCCCTCAGTCTCTCTTCGTAAGGCCTTGCCTGCAGGCCACATCAGTGAATGCTCTTTTCAAACATACGAAGTGCTACAAAGCCTAAGCTAGTGATTCTCAACCAGTGCCAGGGCACCCTGGTGTGCTTTGAGATCCTTTCAAGGTTATTTTGCACAATGTTAGTATTGTTAGTTGTGCAAACATGATTCACAAGGTAAACTCAGAGATTTCAAACAGAAATTCATAGTGTTAAAAATGTTCTGACCTATCATGGTCTTTCTGAGTTCTTTGGAACAAAAGTGCTCTAGTTTTCTGTAGGGTTTTGTTTGTTTGTTTTTAATGAGTAAAAACTAAGAGCTGGCTTATTTTCCTGGGGTGCCTTGAGTCTATTGAGTGGTGCCTTGAATGTAAAAAGGTTGAGAACCACTGGCCTAAGCACACTAAGAAATCATGTCCTACACTTCTATAACTGGGCACACTTGGGCAGCATAAATTATGGCATTTCTTAATTTTTGATTGCATGATATTGCAAGCTTAACATTTTAATGTACAGCTTTTTAAATGTAATATCTATTTAAAATTTAATGTGAAAAATTCTGAGCAAGCCAATATGCAAAGGAAAAGCAGTCATAAGAAATAAATATACTTTCTCTGCTATGTGGCAAGGACTTGATCCTGCAGATAGATGTGATTTCTCACATGCATAAGTGTCTACAGAATTGGGCTTTAAGTGTATCAGGATTTGAAGTGGGATGCCAAGGTTACTTGTACTAGTAAATAATGCTCAGTAACTCAATGATGAGTTCTGCTGTGGCAGCATATAAATACATGATGAAAAAAAATCAAGGAAAAAATCTGACAAACTGCTAGATTAAGGGGGGTGGTAGAAATAGTTCATAAACAAGATAAGGCAGAAGCTAGATTTTATTTAAATCACATTTATATGTATAATTCAAATGAGGAATCAATCCTCATATGGCCCAAATTGGCCTGTCTCCATTTGTTATACCTGTTTACACCATCTGCAGGTCTGGCTCAATATATAGATTTCTCCCAGTCCTTGCCTCGAAGATATAGAAACAGTTTTAAGACAGTTGAGTACATGAAAGAAATGGAAAAAAGATTTTGTACACTAAAGATTTTTTCCAGGACTTGACATGTAGTTGTGTGGTCTTAAAGCATAATACTATGCTGTGCAATATAATATTTATTTAAAGCTTCCATGATTTCCTTAAAATGGCTACTCCTGGATTTTACAATCTATGGTACAAGGTACTTCAAAATGATATATGAGAGTCCCATGGCACATTTCTGTAAATTGTCCAGCACATTTGGGAAGGGTAAAGATTTAGTAGCTAAAAAGGATGAGGCAGTTATTACTGGGTTGTGTTTAATGGAGGAAGATTTTGTTATGTCCCACAACTGTTGGGTTGAGAATTTTTCACTGTATAGGCTTAAACCATTACTGGCTTTTCTTAGACCCTGGTTCAGTAAAGCACTTCAGTATGTGCTTCATCATTAAGCATGTAAACAAATCCTATCAACTTCAGTAGGGCTTAAGTACTTTACCGAATCTGAGTTTTAGATTGTAAGATAATGGAGGGATGGAATATGTTTTGAGGTCTCTACATGGATAGTGATGCATTAGAAGAATGCAAACAATAACAAGTCTTGTATTCTTGATTAGTATAACCAGGGATTACAATTTAGGCAAGGGATCATAAAAGTACTTCATATTTTGATGGTTTTCTTCACAACCGTAATGGCTAAATGTTGTTACCATGGAAGCCAGGATTTTTCTAGAACAATGCCTGCCTAAAAGAAAAATGCCAAGTTGGCAACCCAACGCAACACATCTTAATTGATTCTCTGGGTGCAACTCAGTGCTTGAGCTTCCAGTCTTCTTCCTTTGATTTCCCATACCCAATGCAATCCATTCTGGTTCTCAACCATTAAATGATCAAACTGATGTCCAGCAAATATCAGCCTGGCAGAAATGTGTCCATTTATTGCCTTTCCTCTAAGCATACTCTGTGGTTCACCTCTAAAGAACTCAAGGTCCTTAGTAAACACTTACGTATGTAGCTGCTCTCCTTCAGCAGCCCATTTCCAAGAATAGGGTCTTGAAGCATGAGGATTTGTCTTTTTAGCTGCTGGATTCCTTGAGTACCCAGCCTCTTTCTGTTGCCTGTACTCTGGAGGTTCTTGACCTGCCCTAGAATGCATTAGGTAGGGAGATGACATATAACTGGGGTACTACATGCTCAGCATCCCCGTAATACCAGCCCTGATCCTGATAATGATGTTTTCTCACTTTATAACGTATATTCTTAATAAGCATGTGTGTTGATCGCCATATATGCTGTGGTGTAGAGTTGAATTAATTTCAAAGGAAAGGTATTTTTACTAGCAAATTGCTCAATAATTCTAACTGAATCTGTTGTGTTGATCCTATTATGTGTTATGGTTTTTTAATTCCATCTTGGAAAAAAAAAAGTCAGCAAAAGGTGGCTTGGAAAACAAATGCATTCTGTTCAATTTTCTACCTAGGTCCCTCTTCTCATCAAATGAAAGGGGAAAATTTCATATATGGACTCTATTTTTAATGGCAACTACAGTCTATCCATTTGTAGTGCTGCCACCAATCTAGTGATTGTCCATGGTTCAGCTAAGCAGAACATTCTATTTTAAATGCAGTAAAAAGGTTTATACTATCTTTTTTTTTTTTCAGGGAAGCAATGTAATGGAGGATCAGGATCTGTTGGAAATAGGAATACTTAACTCTGGGCACAGACAAAGAATTCTGCAGGCAATCCAGCTCCTTCCAAAGGTAAAGCCTCTTTTTTATTATCCAAATATATTGCCAAGAGCTTTTATTTAAAATAATAATAACTTCTTAAAATAAGAGGACTTAATCTTCCACAGCTTTTTGTGACATTTATACCGGTGTAAAATGTATATGAAATGCTACCATTCTGGTTTGGTGAAATAAATTATATCCAGGTTGAATTCACTTTGCATACATGTGAATGACCACATGAAGTAAAAAGTATAGAAGAGGTTCAAGTTCCATATTTCTACTGGTAATTATTTTAGAACTGAATATAAAAAAAAAAAAAAAGATACTTCCTGGACATGCATATAACTACAGCCACTGAGGCACCAAACATCCAGACTTGGTCTGGCCTTTGGATTCTGTCTCAATGATGTAAACGTGGAATGGGAGGTCTGGGCAGCCTCCATTCCTCCATACTCATGCCTAGGCATATGCATAACAGGTTCTGGTGACCTCATGCATACACCATGATCCAGAAGGATTGCCAGTGTGTTATAGACTGTATAGTGTCACCACTGCAAATAAACTTGTGCATACATCACGGTTTTTGATCTGCATGCTACTGTGCAGCATTATTAGGCTACTGTGCAATAAACATCTTATGTAGATGCACCCAATGTGCATCAGGCATACCGAGATAAGATTCTTATATCTTTGGGATTCAAGCCATATGATAGAATGCCAAAATATGTCTGTGACTAGCTGCTTGCTGATACCTGCCTCCTGTTGACTTTACCACAAGCAGTTCTGACCAGTTGGACAAGAGAGGCATAGGACATAACTTGGCTCCAAAGATTTTTATACGAGTTGAGAAGCCATCAAGTGAGAGGGAACGAGGACAAAACAAACATGGCAATTGTGTCCAGCATGATACCAAGAAGGCTTCCAATAAGGGCCCATAGGCATATATCTCTCTGGAAGAAAATAGCTGAGTAATAAAGATGAGTGTAAGGTGCATAGCATATTCTGGAGTGTGTTGACTGCATGTGTAGAACAATGATAGTAAGAAGAGATCAATTGGTTGACGGCACCTATAGGAAATTTGAGCAGACAATTTGCCTTCATTATACAAACTGGAAAATTAAAGTGGAGTGGGGTTGGCTGGATAAGGAAGGGTGTGGTCTTTGGACTACTATGAAGGATAAAATTATCTGGATTATACTGAAAATGAATGCAAGAATGACCTCCTTGTGCACCCTGGCATGTGGCTGGTCAGAGTTGGTATGTAATGCAGCATAATTGAAAATGGCAATAGTAACTCAGGGGGCAAGCAGGACACCAACCCTGGTTGTCAACTTGGAAGGGACATCATTATGGCCCCCTTCCCCACCACCCAGGAGTCTTTTCCACAGCAAGAGCAGCCTGGTCATAGAAGCCAGGCAGGTGCAACCCCATAGGAGAGAAGGAATGCGACCACTTGGGAGGCTTTGCTGTCAGAGGCACAGCCCTGCACCTAGAAGCATATCTGGGGGTGAGTGAAGAGAGGGAACGAACAGGGGGCCAGGAGTGAACCCTGTGGAGTCTGCACCAGCCAGGATGATGCACCAGCCTAATTTCACGCTGCTCCAGCAGGAGCTGTAGCACCTGCCACCCAAGTGCAGAGAGCAAGACCAGTTGTGATTCTGCTCCCCCTCCCCTTCCCCCTGTCTCCCTCCCTTTGTCCCCAAGAGGGGAGCATAGTTCCCTCTCCTCCTGTCCTGGGTGCTGAAATAGCTCTCTATGCCTCTGGAAAAAAGTGACATGCTATTGCCATATTGGAAGTATAGATGAAGTAAAATGGGCCAGATAACTGGATTACTCATTTATAAATTTAGGATGAGGAAAGTGCTGAATTAAATTTCTGTTTAAAGTGTTTAAACACCTTATGATTTTTTAGAGCTTGTAGCAAGTTTTTACCTACAGCATTTTATTAACAGAGTTTTGAATCTTAATCTTAGCTCTGTCCTAATGATGTATTTTGTTTCTATTTCCTTATGAAGGAGGGATTTTTTCATATAACTAATAAAACTAGTGAATGGATTTTGCATATGTTATGGCTTTAGAGAGTATTAAATAAAATAGTGCTCATGGAGATGACAGACTGAAAACTAAATTGGAAACTGTATGTAAGAAGTGTCCACATGAATATTACTATTATTTTTTCTTTTATTATTTAGAACCTAAGTGTATGAGACTCTTACGCTAACTCACATTATGTGTTTAGTATTTCAAAATGACTTTAAAAAATGTACATTTTGCATTAATATTGAATAATATAAATTCCTGTTTTTAATGACACTTGCTGTATGGGATCTAAAGACAGACAAATGATTAAGGCAACACATATTCCAGATGAGTCATTTTTATGTATAAGATACTGTTCAACTTGAAAGATGGCAGAGTTAAGACCTAACAAACTCTTTGAATGCAGTTGTTTCTGAGAACAAGATTGTTTTGCAGCTTCCTGAAAGTATCCACATTTTTCAAGCTTGAGTTAATTAACCTTAAACATCTAGAATTAGTGGATATATAATAGCTAGGGATCTACTCAAATTGCAATTTTGTGATTTTTGTGGAAACCACAAATTGGTGTTTTCCATAGTTATGCATGGAATCATTGGAAGAAAAAAAAAATTTACCAAAGTAAAATGCTGGCTCCCCAGTGAGAGCCAGTGGCCTCTGTGTTCCAGCCTTGCACCCAGCTGTGGGGTGACCTGATGGCATGAAGGGAAGCAGCCAAAATGGTGGCTGTTCCCTCTGCCACTGATTGGCTGAGAGGGTTGCCTTTCATGTGGCCCTACCCCTCTCTCCCAGTCAGCAGCAAGGGGTGGGGCCACGTGAAAGGCAGCCCTCTCACCAAAATCAACAGTGAGGAGGCAAGGCTGCCAGGGCCCCTGGCCCCTGAGGGGGGGAGGGGAGCACTGTGAAGACTGCAAAAATGGTGGCTATTGCCATGATTGGCCCATGTAATTGCCCATATACTGCCTTAAATTTGGATAGGTACTTAATAATAGTAAGGTGGTACTTAGATCTTGCTTGATGAAGCAACATATAATCCAAAAATATCAAGTCCTTTACATATATTTAATGCAAAAATGTCATACCAAAATTAATATGGTTAAAAACAAAAGTTGTGCATTACATCTCTTATTTTAAATGGGTCAGCAACACAGATGAGCATACATAGCAACAGTACAAGCTTTCCTATGCAAAACCTAGTTCTTTTGAACAGCTGCTAGAGTAGTTGTAAAACTCATAACCTGTTAATATTGTAATTTTAATTTAGCATAAACCATCCGGGATTATTTTCAATGGGTCACTGAAAATTTGAAAGCTTTTTGTGTCCTGCAGGGAAACATGAAAGACTCCTGTATCTGTTAGTGTGTTGATGAGTCTAGCTCATTATACTTTCAGAATAAGTATACATACATTTAAGTGTGTTGAGATACCAAACCTGAACTTGAGTCTTGGTAAGGAAAATCTTTTCTTTCAGGGCTTTTTTTTTTAAAATTCCCTAATTTATAATCACAATTCTTTTAGAACTTGAAGGATGGTGGTGGATTATATTTGTATTGTTTGTTTCATAGCTAGAACTTTGAGTGGGGGAAAGAGTTTTAAGAAACTCTTGCGTCTTGGCACTTCTTCAAAACTGCTTTTTCAGAGAAGATCGAATAAGCTTAGAGCATAAAACAGGCAACAAACCTAAGTTACACTTTTAAAACACCAACTTTTAAAACAAATTTCCTCACCCTTTCCAATCTGTACTTTTGTGGAAATGGGTTTGGAAATGTAGCAGATGTCCAGCTGTTGAAAGTTAAAACAATTCTCTGTCACTCAAAGATGCTGGCTCCCTGTTGTGTAATGACATTTCTGTGTTTCATGTATCATTGACAGATTTAGGAGTCAGTGTCCTAAAATTCATAATACTTCAGAATTGGAAAAAAAATGTATTTCCTTAAAAACAGAGACAGTTTTGACTCAGTTACTCACTTGCACTCTTTATACCAGTATAACAAAGCAGGGTTGACCCAAAATTTTCATTATGTTATTTTCCCATTAATAATAATTTATCTGAGTAGAAGCTTTGTCAGGAGACTAGACAAATATAGTTATAGCAGAGAGACAATTGGAATCAGCAAATCAGATTACTTCTTTCATAATACCATATCTTTATGTTGAGTTGAAGATGATGTCCCAAGTTCTGGTTTCATACTGAATGTAAAAAAGTGACTGAAATTAATAGCTATTCAAAATGTACACAAATGTAAATGAGAGCAATATCTACCAGTAGATAAGTTTAAAAAAGTGTTTTGATTATAACAACTTGTGAAATTAATTTGTTGATAGTAAAATATTCCATGCTTAGCCTCAGTTTGAGAGCAAAGTTTGATCAGTTTTGGTTTAGTTATTTTTAGCAAACATTTTTTAAAAGCAATTCATTTGCTTAATGAATAAAAGGAGACTGATACAAATTTAGGGGAAGATGCAGCAGTATTTAAAGAAACACCATTTAGAATAGGATGACTTTAAGGAGGTTGGGAGCACTAGGGAACCAATTAAGTATGGTGTATGAGAGAAATGATTGTTGAAGGAAATGAATTATAGAGAAAACTTTACATGTTCCTAAGTGATATAAGAGGCTAAACCCCATTTTCAAAATTGATTTAGTCTGTTTAAGAACCTAAGTCCCTATTGACTTTCAATGACACTTAGGCCCTTGAGTCCCTAAATCAGCTTCTAAAATATTTAAGCACCTTTGAAAATGTTACCCACAGTCAAAAATAGACTGATGCACAACCTCAGTGGTTAAGAGAAATCAGTTTAATTTGATCTGATGAGTGATAAAAACCTCATGAAGGGGCTTGTGGTGGTGCACCTTTGGGTGCTTGCCACTTTAAGGGCCTGAGCAGGCTGTGAGGTAGTCCACAACTGACTGCAGAACCAATCAGGTGGTCATATGACAGCCAGGAGGCACCCTGCTTGGAGCAGGGTGGAGCAGCCTGAGAATAAGAGCA